CTAAGATGCTACGAGTAATAGCGCAGGTACAGCGTTTTTATCATGTAACCAAGAATAAATTGAAGAACGGAGAATGTACCCTCCAACCTATTCAGCTACAAAAGGCATTGCACTGTATTATTTGGGTCATCCAACAGCAATTCTTCGAAATTGATATACAACGCCTACAACGAGGGAACCCAGCCGAAGGTACATTAAAGCATCTAAATCCCTTCCTGGACAATGTATTCGGTTATCAATTACTAAAGGTGGGAGGTCGCCTCGAGCTGAGTGACATCTCAGTAGGCCAACGTCACCCTATTTTGTTGCCGAAGGGCTGTTATTTTGTGGAACTTTATGTTCGGCATATACACTTGTGCAACTATCATGCAGGCGCAAAAGCACTAATTGCCCTTACTCGACTAAACTTCTGGATAATTAATATTCGAGAAATTGCACGCCGAGTCGTGCACTCGTGTATTCACTGCGTGCGTTATAAACCCAAACTACTTAATCAAATGATGGGTAATCTCCCAATCGAACGCCTCACTCCAAGTCGTCCTTTCGCGCGTACTGCGGTAGATTTTTGCGGTCCGATATTAACGTATCTCCGAATTCGGGGACGGGTTCCATATAAGACCTATATAGCCGTGTTCGTTTGTTTGTCTACAAAGGCAGCTCATCTAGAAGCCGTGTCAGACTTATCTACGGAGGCATTTATTGCAGCACTGAAAAGGTTAATCGGTAGACGAGGGTTATCATCAGACATCTATTGCGACAACGCCACGAACTTCGTTGGGGCTAACAACAAACTAGCAGAGTTAAAAAGAATGTTTTTCGAGAAGTCTAATCAAGTGATGCTGCAGACCTTTTGCAGCAACCAATTCATAAATTTCAATTTTATACCGCCCCGAGCACCTCACTTTGGAGGTCTATGGGAAGCGGCTGTAAAAAGCGCGAAAGGCCATCTGTATCGAACATTATCAAATACTCGATTCACCTTTGAGGAGCTTGGAACAGCACTGATTGAAATCGAAGCTATCTTAAATTCGCGACCAATCACACCTCATTCTTGTGACCCGAGCGATTATGAAGCGCTAACGCCAGCACATTTTCTTATCGGTGGGCCGCTCAAAACTTTATCTGAATCAAGTCCTCAGTATGAAGCTGCTTCATTAATTGATAAATGGTCTCGTATAACCGCAGTCAAACATCACTTCTGGCGCAGATGGTCTAGAGACTATCTGAATGAGCTGCAGATACGCACCAAATGGACAGAAGAACAATCTAACATCACCGAGGGGGTTCTGGTTTTAATCCATGAAGACAATATGCCTCCACAACGCTGGTTGATGGGCCGAATCGTGCATTGCATCAGGGGTCCAGATAATTTGGTTCGTGTTGTTGATGTGCAAACCCCAAAAGGAGTAATACGGCGTCCAATCCACAAACTCGCACTATTACCAATTGAAAATCCTTTCAAGGGGGGCGGGATGTTAGAGCGGTTAAAGTCAAATTGTTAATATTGTAGGATTCTGTAGAATTATTATAATTGATGTGTTATATGATTTATATATTATATTTTAATCTATTTTAAATCATATATTGTATAATTAAATTATTATAATTAATATATTATATAATTCATATATAATATTTTATATGGTTAATATATATGGTTAATTAATTTATCTAACTAACCCTGTATAAGATGTAATCAAACCAACGGTTCTAAGTCTTGTTTTTATTGCCTTTTGTTTTTGCGCTCGAGATGAGCAATTTTTTTGTTATATTTTTTGGGCTGCAAGTAAACTCCGTTGGTTTGATGCTGTCTCTTGTTTTTCGATCGCGAACGTGTCAACACACGGGTACACATAAAAAAGTGATTAAACAATCAATAACCGAAATTGTATAAATTCAATTGTATAAATTAAATGAAATCAAAACCCAATTATAAAAACGTTTATAATTTACATTGTGTTAAAGAAATTGAAATAAAGATCATAAAACCCAATTATAAAAACGCTTATAATTTACTATATCAATCTATCAATTCTATATCAATCTAGAAGGATAAAAGTCTTTTAAATCGAGAGGTTATTAAAAATCAACAAAAATCTCCACTAAATCCTAGATCGATCAATTTTGACAGATAAATATCTTTTATGTCGAGGATTAATAGGGGTGTTGAAAATTAACAAAAATATATACAGCAAAAGGGGTAAAAAATTAACACCATGGATGGCAAAAGCTTTTTCTAATATATGTTGACTGTGATATTTAAAATTTAATTTAAAAGCCATATTATTTTCTAATAAATTAAATAATTATATATGGTACATTAGAAAATGTGTAATGAATTAGTCATATATCAAGTATTGGGGTGTCTCCAATAAAGGTATTCCTTCATGCAGCAGGTGAGAAACATTCATATCTTATAGTTTCTTATTGATATAATTCATATGGTAATATATTTCTCATATTGATAGCGATTATCTATTTTTTCACAGGCCTTGAGCAATACTGACTACTATATATTATATTGTATACTAGTCGCGAGTTTAACTATGATTCATAAGTCCCGAAAAACTTATGCGATAGATGATATACTTTAGTCCTTTCTTGTATGACTCTTTCGGTTATGCTACTTGCAGTTATGAACCTGGTACATTTAGTAGGAATGTTCTATGTGTTTTCTATTTTGTGATGATGAGATCGACAGTACGAATCAAGTACATGCTTGTTTTGGTGCAGTTATTCATAGAAATATAATTAGTCCGATAAAGTTACGTGAGGTGTATGTTAGTTTAACTGTGTTTTCAGTCAATCCATCGCTCAATGTTTGGGATAGTTTTGTAGGTCTATCTACATTTAATGGTTCTGCTCTACTCCATATTATTTATATTAAGTTTGTGCTTCAGTATCCAGCTAATACTAATTGTCCATTTATGTTATGTCTACTAACCGTTGCTTTTTTGACCGTCATAGATTTGCCCGGTTTTCTACTATAAATGACGTTATAAGCATTATTCGAAGTGCACAATACTCACTTTCTTTTGTTTTATGTAATTGGTTTATTTATTGATTTTTTTGAAATAGAAATTGATAATAACTGGGCGAATCTTAAAAAACTAACATGTATGCTATTGAGCTAGGGTATTAATGTTTATCAATGGTTTTGTTTTAAGGTGGCTTTGTACAGTTGCAGAGGATATATGTCGAACATGAGGATTTGGATGCAACTTGCATATCTCTATATTATATTGGTAAATTACTTTTTCAACAGTTAATAGACTTAGATCTTTGTCTAGATTTTTTTTTTTGACGTACCACGGAGGACAAATACTTTGTCGGAGAACTTTACAGAACTTTCCCTTAAACGTGTTTTTCTTTATATTTATCACTCCGAAAAATTTACAAAATTCTAAAACTAAGCAAAGTTCTTGTTGGGTTTAATTAGTTTACGTTCTCTAAAGAGTACTGTATATTCAATCCGTTTTCATTTATTTCATTTCTAAATATATAATACTTAAATATTCCCGAGTACAAATTAAGCAAATTATTCTCGTCATAATTGTTTTTTACTATCATCCCATTTTTGGTAACTTAAATTGTAAGTTAAATAGCTTAAAACTTCTTTGGCGCTCATAATAAATTTATTCGATTTGTTATGAAATCAAATTAAAACAAAATTTAATTCAATTTAATTTCGTGAAACTTTGGTAACTTTTATTATTTTTCATAAAATAGACTCATGCAACAGCCAAGACAATAAACGCGGTATTATATTAATAATTCAAGTGCATAAACTTTTCATATTTTCTCTTGAAACAGACGAACACAATTAAAGTGACTGGAAACGGAAATGCGTGCCGAAAGGAAGGCAAATATCTGGTACAAATGCATTGCGAGCTATACTCGTGCCCTCAGGGACGCATTTGTGTGGAGTGAAAAAAAAAGGAGGCACTTGCACATTAAACCGCACGCATTGTTGATAAGGAAATTAAACCGCTCTAAGGTTATTGCAAGGTAATTTTACAACCAAGCCCAAACCCCCCAAGTGTCATAGAAGTAAAAGAAAAACAAAAGCAATACCAGCTATTCTGGGTTCCCCACTTTCATGCATCCATGCAAACGTTGTTGTAAATTCACCGACAAACAAACAAACAAATTACTTTTTCTACAATTTCTATTTTCATTATTCTTAAGGATAAATGGAGTCTTGTACCAACTTGTACCAGACTTTTTCTTTCGCCTGGGGTCTTAGTATTTTTATTATATACCTGATTACGCCGCTTACATGCCGCCCTGATGTGTGTGGTCAGATTGCTTGCTGCACATCATCTTCGAGTAATGAAAATTCTTAAAAACTCTGTAGAAATCCTTACTTCAAATTTCCTTTTACTACTTTCCAGCCTAAGGATATATGACGTGTATAAATTTCATAAGTAGCAGTTTTGTTGTCGTCTATAGTGAACCCTTTCTGAAATGTCTCTCTCAGTTAAAAGGAGAAAAAGGGATTTGAACAAAACCGCGGTACTGACACGTCGTTTGCCTCTGAGTTAAAGTTTCATTTGGAATTTTATTAAATGATAACACGAATTTGCACTTAATTTGTTTAAACTTTGCGACTAGTTCAGAGGACCAGTTGTGTTCCGTATACCAAGTTGTGCTATTTAAATTTTTTTTTTAAAAGTATTTACTTGATATTATATTGTTTATTTATTTCAGGAATTTGTGTTATAATTGTTTATGAAAAATTCTGAACTTGGATAATGAGATAGACAAATTTTGGGTCAATTAAAGTTGAAAGATTCTGGCTTAATAATAACAATAATAATAATTTTGGCTAAAAAAGGTGACATCATCTTGTCCAAAACTTTTGGACATACCCATAACTGATCATTTATGACACTTAAAATAAAATCAAAGTAGGTTCTAGAGAAAATGCCACAAAATTTAAAAATTAATCTTATTTTAAACAATTTAATTTTATTATAAAAATTAAATTCGTAGAACACGTTTCATCTTTATTTGAAAATTATATGAGACATAGAATTTAGCTGATACTTGGATTATTTTAACTATATTTATTAAATTTTATACAAAATTTGCTTGAGTTGCGGAAGAAAAAGTTTGACATCAAATTTTGATGTCAAATTTTGAATTTAATCAACTGTTGGGACTACTTAAGATCTGGTGATAAAATTAAAGTTGAAATTCTTCCAAATTTTTAATAGTTTTCTTTCCTTGCAGTCTAACTGAATTAAGAGGACTACCCTAAGTATAAAAATTGACATGCAGAAGAATTGGGAACTATGTATGTGCATTTGTATCATTCAGTTCTACCATATTTAATGAATATTTAAAGATTAACAAATTTGACGTAATTAATCAAATTTTGGTATCAAAAGACTGAATTTAATTACCTATTGGGATTACTCGAGCTCTGCTGTTAAAATAAAGCTAATGTTCTACTCAATTTGCAATAGTTTTTATATTCTTCAGTAAATTTGGATTAAGAGGACTATCCTTAGCATAAAAATTGATAGTCTGAAGAATTAGAAACTATACAAATTCGTGCCTTTCTGTGGTGCTATATTTACTGCAGAAATCTGACATAACTAATCAAATTTTGGTACCAAAAGACTAAATTAAATCGAGTATCAGTACATACAATCCGGACTACTTGAGAACTGGTGAAAAAATTAATGTTAAAATCCTTTTAGTTTTCATAGTTTTCTTATTTCACTGTATAGATCGCTTAAGAAGACTACTCTAAGCATTCAAGGTAACACTCTAAAGGATTGGAAGCTTTGAAGTTGTATCTTTCTTTAGTATCTTTAAGAAAATTTGCAAGTAAGTGGAATCTCAAATATTCATAAAACTATTGAAGATTGATTTTTTAAATAAAATATGCATTAATTAAAGTGGCTTGATTAAATAGTATATTATGTCAATACTATGTGAATTTGATTCAAGAATATAGACCACTTGGCTGGTACGAATGAACCGTTGACTGATAACTTTTATGTTAATCAGTAATTTGCTGATTACTGATACAATTTTTAAATAACATAGCTTGGGTCGTATATAGGCAATAATGCTGGAAATATACGGAGTAGTGAGATCACATGATCGTGGAAGCCAATCTACATAATCATTATATGATTATCATTTGCATTTATTAAATGTTTTCTGCAGTAACTTGAAGCAGTCACGCGCTGTATATCATATCACGTCATCTTGTTAAAACCAAATATATTTGCATACTATGACCTTTCAAGAACGTCATTTATCGTAGACCTATAGTGGTTATCACAGCCTGTAATATAGTATTTTGAATGGCAATGCCTTTGAAAATATGTGGGTCAATTGATTCTATTTATGAATTCTGTTTATGGTAAAATAGAAACACTTACTGATTAAAAAAATTGAGTGTCAGCTTCTGTAATTTGTACCACTCAAAAAAGTGTTATTAACTTAAAAATCGAAAGTCAAAGTATTAAAACAAATATTATTAATATGTAAGTGTGAACAGTAATTACTTTAAACGATTGCTTAATAGTTATAGGCAGCAGCTTTTATTCAATTGTTCAACACTCTTCAGTTGAAGACGATCTATTAGGTTTACTTGATTTACAGAATTCTGTACATAAAAAATTAGTTCCTTATAGAAATGCATGTATTACTTTTTTTCAATTTATGTAAAATAATATATTAGTAATATACGCTAATATCTTAACATATAATTTTTTATTCACAGTTATGGTCTGCGTTAGAAAGGTTGCACTTGTCATTCTGTTGATTGTGGTCATTTTTGTCAAATTATATACATTTGGAGTTTTTTCCTTCTTGGACAAGAAAAATAAAAATCCTGCTCATGTTTCAAAGTTTATGAGTGTCTATAACCATGTAATGATTGCAAAATGGGGTCTACTCATCATCATCTCATTGTACCTACTAATGCGTCGTACTGTAAAGGACCTATATAACATTCGTATTATTCCTCGACAATTTCAAGTCCATATGATAGTTGCCGAAATTAGTAAGGGCTTATCCTTTACTTCAATGGAACTAATAAAAATTAAGGAGCATGTTGAACTCGATCGTATTGTTGATCTACTCCTTATAAGAAACAAAATTAACGGCCCATTTAATTATGCGGAGGAAGCAAATTATATTGCAACAAATGAAGGTATTCAGACTTATTGTAACGTTGTTAGATATCTATTCTTAAACAAAAGGATTTAATATGAATAAAATCTGGATGGGTAGAATAGATTACTTTAGCGAGATCACTATACATCTTCAAGGAGCTATAAATTCATTGTATCAATTCATTATAATAAAATATTCAAAATTTATTACATAAAAATAAGAATTGTTTTATTCTTTCATTAGATGTAATGCGATTATATGGATTTATGAGTTTATAAGAGGTTATGGGTTTAAAACACTTACTTTTGAATTAGAGGTTACTTAAAAAATACTAATTAAAAAAAAAATATTTTGAATTAAATTGTAATACATTAATATATCAATAACATTACATAAATTATATTATATTAATATGTAATAATATATTGCTCTGTAAGCTCTCATTAGAGAGATTGATAATTTATCTATTTCAAACAGATCGGATATCAGACATATCATTGCTAACCCAGCGCAGTGCAATGTTTACACTCCCAACGATTATTTTTTTAGGAATAAAGCAGTAAAAACATATTATCGGTGATTGTAGGAGACCTATGAGTCTGACAATAGAATTACAAAAGCTTAAAATTGGTTGAATGTGTCCCTTGTTTGATGAATGTAAAATAATAGATCTATGGGATCCCAGTGAAATTGTCAATTAGATGGACTGACATATTAAACTATTGAATGAGTATGCATATCAATATTACAGATATCTATATGATTTTATAAAACTAGTAAATTTGAACATACAGTTGATAAATGATTCGTAAGTAAAAAAGTCAATAATGGATATAATTAATAGGGAAACCTAAACCTAATTTTTTTTTGTATATTATGATAAAACTTCAATTGAACAGCCCTCGTAGGACCAACAAATGTAAGGCTTAGAATTTAATTATTAACAAAAATCAATTCAGCCGGAAATTGAACATAATGATTTCTGTCAATAACAGTTAAACAATAATATTAAAAATTTGATACACTGAAAAAAATATTTAGCAATGTGATAAGTATAAAAAATTTTGTAAAAATTAAAATGCAAAAATAAATATATTCATGACAACTTGGTAAAAAGTAATGTCTGTAAGATTGTCACCATTAAAAACAGTCAAAACAGCAACAGCAACAAAATGATTGACAACATTAGGACTCAATTAAAATTTTCTTCTAATACCGTACACCAAAATATGTGGATACCTTCAGTTCATAATAAGACATACATACATTTTGTAATATGTGTTGTTTAAGACTTTAAGTTGAAAATCATTAATAGAAAGAGTGCTTTGTTCTTAGCTCATAGCTCTTTACTTGTTCTTTCAGTGTAATGATTTTTTAGATCAATGAACGCAAGAAAAAATATTGAAATGAGCATTAGAAAGAGCATTAAAATAAGTATCAAAAAGAGTATTAGGAAGAGCACCAATGGAAAGATTTAAAAGATTATTGAAATGAGCACAAATGACAGCATTAAAAAAAAAGCATCAAAAAGAGTATTAAGAACTACATTAAAAAGAACATACAAAAATATTAAAAACGCATTAAAAAGAGAATCAAATTAAGCATCAGAAAGAACATCAAAAACAGCATTTGAAAGACCATTAAAAAGAGCATTAAAAAGACTATTTTAAAGAAAATAACAAATCCATTGCAAAGAACATCAAAAGGAGCACCATAATAGCCATTAAGAATAGCATTGAGAAGATCTTTAAAAAGAGCATCAAAAGTCGATTAAAAATATTATTCAAAAGAACATGAAAGAGTGTACGAAGAAGATCACAAAAATGAGCATCAAAAAAAGTATTAGGATCAGCGTCAGAAAAAACATCAAAAACAGCATTTGTAAAATCATTAAAAAGAGCATTTAAAAGAACATTTAAAAGAGCATTAAAAAGAGCATTAAAAATGGATTAAAAATAACATTAAAAAGAGCACTAAGGAGTGTATGTAAAGGAACATTAAAAAGAGCATTAAAAATGGATTAAAAACAACATTAAAAATAACATTACGGAGTGTATGAAAAAGATCATTAAAAGGAGCATCAAAACAAGTATTAAAAAGAGCATTTTAAAGAGCGTCAAAAAGAGTATTGAAAAGAGCATTTTAAAGAGCATTAAAAAGAGTGTTGAAAAGAGCATTAAAAAGAGTGTTGAAAAGAGCATTAAAAAGAGTGTTGAAAAGAGCATTTAAAAATATATTAATAACTTTAAGTACAAAGATTTTAAATATTCTAATGTAGCGGTTCAGAACGATCAACCTCTACCGTTTTTAATAATACTTGATTCCTTCATATTTTTTTATTAACCAACAATTCTCGTTCGTAGCATTATTGAAGCGTAAAAGTCAAATATTGTGTATAACTTTTTATATATAATTATATATACTCGTAAATAAAGTGTATTATTTACTACAAGAAAATCCATGTATCCTTACAATTTTCAACTTAGTTGATGCCATGATTAATTACGCAGTGACATTGCAGCACAAGCCACAAACGAAAATTGTTCGCTCATTCGCTTTACGTGCGTTTCCTTTTACGGATGATAAATGAGCAAAAGGTGTTGAGCTTCCTTGGCAATGTTGTGGGTGCAACTAGGACATTACATTGTCACAACAACAACAACAACAACAACAACAGCAACAACGATGGTGGCTTAGAGCAATCGCATTATTTTTGCAGACACGTCACGTCACTACGTCATTTCCGTTGGACTTTTGGTTGGTTGTTTTGTTATCTCGGTTGTGTGACTGCGTAAATTTAAATCAGCGAACGCTTAGTTGGCTTTTGAGCTCACGGATTTGACTGTTGTAGTTCCCATTCCCTGTTCTTTGAATACTAAACACAAGCCTAATGAATAATTTTTTCCACCATGTTGAGCTGCCACTTTCTTTTGTCACTCAAAGATGTTTTTGGTTCTGACAACTTTTTGGTTTGTACTGTAATTTTTGTTTTTTTTTGTTTAGAGTTGTTTTGTTTATTATCAGGGGCGCTTAATTACATTCTGCAGAAGAAATGAAGAAAGTGTGATTGTCACATGAATATTGTATAAACCAAGAACAGAACAAAAATGCAAGCAAATTTAATAATTCATCTTTAAATATAGTAACGAAATGTTTGCAACTCTTAAGATTAAAGCTTTAGAGGTTTGAGAAATGACTATTACGGTAGGTAGGACTTCCTAATATATTTGTCAATAGTATAATTAATATTTTGTTTAAATATAAATTATTCAATTGGTTGGTGGTTGATATTAGTTTTCACAATTAATGCTTATTTAATGGCATTTTCCTCGCAAGAAACTGCTACACGTAATCTAGATCCATTATATTTACTTTTTATTTAGTCTAATAGATCGTTTGGTTTTACTGCTAAACAGTCTGTCGAATAACTAGTTATCTACAATAAAATTTTTCTGTTAGCCTAAGCTAGGGTGGCATTATACACAGAGTCATGGTCACGCAGCAGAAGGCATACCAAGTGTACAAAGCTTTAGCGTTTGTATAGATGGACTACCAAGTTAAAAGTAACCTACTTTATAACAGCAGGAGATATATTAGTATAGATATGCTAGATGTACTATTAAGGTTTTATACTTTGTACACCTTTGGCTCATTTACAAAGCGATCTGGCTGCGGCAACTGCATAAACTAGTTTGATTGAATCTGTCACCTCGACAATGTGCTACCTCTATAAAATCTTTTTATTATCTACTAGAAACATATAATTTTACTTACTTTTATTACTTTTAAGGTCAGTTATAGAAAGATTTTTTGAAATGTAAATAGAATTTTTGGTTTAATTTAAGTAAGTAGTTCTCATGGAAGCTTTCAGTTCTGCATGCTTAGTCTTGATGAAAGTTCGCGTTACGACTGTAACATGTTCTCACCAATACGTCAGCAAAAGATGTGCTAGTGTACAAAGCTTTAGGCTTCCAATATCACCTTTGGAATTACTTTCAAAGCTAATTGTTACCTGCAACCGTAGAAACAAGTTTGATTAAGCCCGTCAAATCTACAATGTACTACAACTGGGGAATATTTTTAGAATTTTCTTCTAAATAATTCTCATAAAAGCTATCAGTATTACATGCTTTGACTTGCTAACCGACTATTATGTGTTCTCATCTTTACAGTAACAGGAGATGTAGTAGTGTACGAAGCTTTATGCTTCCAGTGTCTTGTCTTTGGTTCATCGCAATCTCACAAGCTAGTTGCCATCTTGACAAAATAAAATGCTATCTCTGGGAAATATTTATAGAATTTATTATATATATATTATTGCTGTGTTTGATTGATAAATATGGGGTTACTTTTTACACCAGATTCACTAGAAGTGTTGCTAGAGTAGCAATATTACCTTGAAATCAACAGCTTTATATATGATTTATATGACTTGACAAATAAATTGTGATTTGATTCAATATATGTATTTATGGAAAATATAAATATCTAGTGACACTACTGCAACAAAATTCGAGAGATCGCTAGTAAATCTAGATTGAATCCATATTTGCCAATCGAGAAAAACATTATGTACATGTATAATTATTTTTATTACTAGAAACCGAGTTTTATTATAGATTTTTCTGCTCCAATTTTCGTAATTAATTTCCATTCATTAGCTTTGAGTCGTGCATACTTTGGCCAAGATGACCGACTGTAACGTGTTGTCATCTTTTTAGCATAAAAGTTTTTGCGTAATAACAAAAAAAAAAAAATTGCTTCACCACTTGGGTCAAATATAGATGGACTCATTAGATTACATAGAATAGACGCTTTTGTGTTTACACACTCAATGAATGATGGTGTTCCTAATGTGGCTCCTAGCTTGATTGTATTTATTTAGTGGATGATGTGTTTGGTTATGATGTGATGTGTTTTTGTTTATATTTGCTTTGCTCTCGGCTATTCTATTGTTATGCTGTGGACTTGGTTAGTTGGTTAAGTTGTATTTGTTACATGTCCCTTGCCACTTCAACATAATAGACAAATTATTGTCTATTAACAAAATGACATGAAAGGATACGCTCAGCGTTAAAGCCACACTCTCAAAAACCAAAAAGAATTTTATTAACTCAAAGTATAATTTTCACAAAATGATTGATGAAGATTGAAGAGATTTGGTTGAAGTAAACCGCAAATTATGTGCATAATTGCAA